CCCCAAAACCCCAAAACCCCAAAACCCCAAAACCCCTTTAGATTAAAAAATACTGAGTGTTATTAGAAATAAAATTAATAACAGAATGAAAAAGATGTTCGCCCTTGTGCTGATAGTTGCATTTGCAGCTGCAGCTACAACTCTGGTTGAAAAAGATGACTTCAAGTTCAGTATTCAATTCAGTGAGAATGAACAGAACAGCACTGATACTGATGTGCAGGTCAGATTGAAGGTCAACTCAACTTCTCAGCCTCTAACCAACAGCTATTATGTGACTGTGGCCTGCATTAATGTAGCAAATAATACCTATAGACTCAGCACAGCAAGCACTACCTTGAATGGTTTTGGTGTTGAATGGCAGTGCAGTGCAACCTGCACTTCATTAGCAGCTGTACACACCTCTTATAAATTCTATGGATCAGCAACCTGGGGATTAACTACTGCTAACGTGGCCAGTTCCAATACAGCTACACTTCTCAATACTCGTACTGGAGTCGATTCAACTCATACAGGAGACAAGATGGTGATGCATACTTATACAGGTCTCTCAGCTGATGTACTCAGAACCGAAATGTACCTTCCTAATAGAACTGAGACTTGGTATGCCAGATGCTATGGAAACTTCAATCATGCAGCACAAGTAAACTTGGCTTCAGCTATCGCTAACCTGGGCACCTCTCTTGGAAACGAGAAGAACATCACCTTCACAGGTAGAGGGTACCAAGTAGCTGCTATCCTTGCTGTGGTAGGGTCCTTGGTTGGCTCTTTTGTCTAAATTGGTCAATAAACATCATAGTAGAATATTTCCTGGATTATAGCAATAGTGCTGGAAACCTTCGTTTTGAAAGATTCATTAGCCCTGCCATTTTATATGAGATTTATTATTAATTTTGAAATTCACAAATTATTTATCAAGGAATCTTACAGAAGAGATCTCACTGCCACCTCTTGGGAGGGAGAGGCAGACAGAATAGCCAGGATGCTAACTTTGAGACTCGTAGCTGTATTTTTAGGTTATAGCATTGGGTGTGTAGGATGAGAAAAATAATATTGATCGCCTTTTTAATTAGATCGTAATCCATGAAGAAGTTCAGCTTGCTTTTCATTGTTAAGAGGGCTTATCATTAATGCACAATAATCACATCAGAACTGGGTTTTTATGCAAAGTTGCTTTTTAATAGTATTTACAGCCTCTATAGTTTCCACTCTTGGTCAGTAGTACCGCTTTTAAATATAAGATTTAAACATTTGATGTGCCACTTGAGCCAAGGGGTTTTGGGGTTTTGGGGTTTTGGGG